GGTCAACATTTGAAAATTTGCCTTCGTTTGCATTTTTTGTTGTGTAAAAGTAAAGAACCCAACTGAAAAAGACTCAATAAAGCAAACGCTTCCCATCGTGTTTAGTTACACGAAAAGGTGATAAAAATGTTACTCAATAGAACTTTAAGAGCAACAGTAAAACTTGCCACTTCCTCAGCGTTGAACTGCGGTGCGACTCCCAGTTTTAGATAAACTTATTTTAACAGTAAACCACAATAAAACAGCATGAACGCCAGGACGTGTTGTTTCATTGTGTGTAATATATCCACGGTCTGTATTTGAAAGCCAATAAGCTTTCCATCTTAATAGGAATAGTTTCAAGAGTTCAGCCGCTGGGGTAACTGGAAGTTCACAGAATGGTGAAACTAAGTACACAATCGTATAAACTTCATTGAACGCAAAGCGAAATGTTTTCGATTTGCATCGAGAAGGGTCTATGGACGATAAATTGCTTACCTCGAACTACTAAAGGAACGTTATACCTTTATATGAAAATGTATTTGATTTATCATGTGAAGCCCTAAGTTTAATGCGCTTGTTTTGTCAGTGCATTAATCACCATGTAAGTTTCAAAAGACAGCCAGAGATCCACTCAAACACATTTCCATGAGGTGACAACCGAATAAGGCCGGAAAGTGCGCCTGCAGCAAATTGTTTTTATTGCCCCTTTTCAAATATCGGTCGCCCCTTATGTTGTTATACTAAGGGTCAAAACACTTACTAAGGGAAACCTTGCGGACGCCAAAGAACCCTCTATATTATTTTATATAGGTGGGACGGAGCATATGAAATAATATATTTTTTTCAGGCCGCTTTCAATTTCGAGGCGAGTCGATTGTGAGTAACGGTTTACATTCGGCATTTGTCCTTTTACACATTCGATTTGGAAAAAATCTTCAGACGAAAACTGGAAAACATCCTTGAACCATTCAAAAAAGTCCGGCTTTTGACTGTGATTTTTTCCTCACTCAATCCTCCGGGTTTGCCGATTCTCACCCCAAAATAAGTGTTTTATTATTTGTATTATTGTTAATTCCTCGCTAATTGTGAGTGAGCAAAGAACCGAAAATGGTAGCTAACAAGAAATAATGGGTTTGGATCGATGCCGGAAATATTTGCCAAACCATTAGCCAGCCTAAGGAAAATAAATTCATTAGAAGCTAATAAAGGATCACCCGTATTGATTTGGCAGAAAACTTTGGAAGAGCCGCACGAAAATGCCCTTAATCCCTTAATCGCGAACACATCTGGCCCAGTCCTAATCTAATAACCTGGTAAGTGTTTTCTTAGGGTTTCTACCTTCCCGCTCAAATATTTGCCTTGGCCAGACGCGACTTTAGATGTTTTTATTTAAAAAAAACCTCTCCAGTATCCATCCGATGTTTGACAATTCAACACCATCTTAAGTCAGATTCTGTAAATGTTTACTTATCTTACTTGTTATTTTCCTAATAGGATTCCAGTTTATCGAAACTTGACTATAACTTTGACAAAAGTGAACGTAAAATAGGTTCTATTAGTGCATAAAGCGCTGTAGAAGCGCAATAACATGCCACCTGTCCAGTTCTCAGACGAATTGAAGCGCTTAAAGTAGACAAACCCTCCTGTGGGAAATCCTTGTATTCTCCTAGCAAAAGTACCTGCCTCTTTATACGTCGACTTTATTGCTTCATAACTTATGCAGCATAAGCTTTTACCTCGTCATATAGGCCAAATTAGAATGTGAAAAATGCAAGTTGCTTTCATCCAGTTATTGGAAACGCTTCGCCCTCGCTAGAAAACTCCTTTGGGGAGCTTTTGCGATTATCGACAGTTTATCCTATCAAGGGCTTGGCAAACGGAATTTTTCAATTTTCATGTGCAAGTGTACATTTTTTTTAGTTTAAAGCGACTAGATTGAAAAAATTGTCCATTAGTCTACTTACCCAGAAACCATTTCAGGATAGGTGGCGGATTCCCATAATGAGACACACATTTGATGACGGCAAGTTCTCCATGAAAAGTTGTCAGATTATGGCCGGGAAGAACTTGGGTTCCATTGAATTCTATTCTTGGTCGTTGCGGTGGAACTGAAAAATAAACCGAGGCTTTATGGAGCAATTCAAACTTTTCCCTCAAATTCACAGTTTCACCGCGCAAAAACGTATTGAGGGATTTTTAAAAATCTCCATCAAACTCCATTGTTTTTGTTAGCGAATAAAATCAATGATACCCCCACATAATCCTGGGATGTTTTAATGCCTGAAGGCCTCAGTTTTATCGTACGTAAAATGGGCCCTGAAAAACTCCATTAGTTTTCTGTTTTTTATAGGTTTTTTTCCAATATAGCTTGCGATGAAAAGAATCTTCTCTTATGAAAAATATTGAAATTATCACCCAAGTTTTTGGATGTTTCCTGCCCTTAATTCATTAAAAATTCAAAGTTTATAAAAATATTAAAAAACTAGATGTTTTCTATGCATATTGTGGAGCTTTTACGTCGCCTACATTTAATTAGCGCCGAGAAACACGCATGGAAAACTTTAATTTTTGAAAGAAAATTTCCCCAAAAGGTAGAGAAAGATTGTTTGAAAAAATATCAGTTCCCGCAAAATACTTCGCATTCTACACCGTCTTCATAGCAAGCAAGAGTGAAATGTCACTAACTGATTGAGAAACACGCTAGAAACTTCAAAGCCGAAGTATTCGAAAATCTTGGAAAATTTTCAGCAGATTTTCAAGACGTATTTTTCGCCCAAATACTCTTTCTATGAAAAATGCCTTGAGTTGAAAAATTTTGAATTTTGACCAAAAATTTTGCAAAAGGGTCGATAGAGGCTGATTTTTCGCCAAAATATCAATTCTTTTAAAATGCTTCAAATTCTACACTATTTTCATAGCAAGAAAGAGAAATTCCACAAACTGATTGAGAGAAGCATCGACATTTTTGGCTAATTTTACATCATATCTTTTACACAATATCTGACTTGTTATAGACCCAAATATTTAAAAAAATGTATTTAATAAAAAAACCAGTTTGTAAAATTTTGGATTATGACCAAAAACTTTGCAAACGGTAAAAAGTTTTCCCGTCAAAACACCAAGTCTCTCAAAATGCTTCAAATTCTATACGATTTTCTTCAGCTTCAGCCGAGCTTCAAAACCGAAATAATCGACACTTTTGACTAATTTTAAGTGGTTTTTAAGGGTTCACGATCTTTAACCGACGATATCTGAGTTATTACCAACCTATATATTTTTGCATGCATATTTGGAATTTTTTTACGCTGAAAACGATCCACCTGAAGCGAGCTCAAAACAAACTTTTGAAACATTTTAGATTTTGACCGAAAATTTCGTAAGGAACAGAAGCCGGATTTTGGAAAAAATGTAAATTATTGCAAAACGCTTCAAATTTTACGTTATTTTCAAAGCAAGGAAGAGGTAAATGCTATTAACTGACTGAGAAACATTTTTGGCTACTTTTTAAGCGTTCACGATCTTCATCCGAATATTATGAACCCACATATTTATGCATCCATTAATGGAGTAATCTAAAAAAAACCTTTGCGAAATTTTGGATGTTAAGTGAAAATTTCGCTAGGGCCAAATGTCGATTTTTCGAAAAAATATAAATTTTTGCAATTTCGATAGGTCTGCATATTGGGGACATTTTTACATTGAAAGCGGTCCATTGAGCTGAAAAAAACCTTGTTTTTGACCAAAATTTTCATAAGGTTTTTTATGGCTTATTTCGATGAGTATTTTCTATTGAAGGAAACATTGGAATTACCTTCCGACTTTCCCACAGAAAGTTAAAACAGCAACAATTTTTTTTTGTCTAAAAAGTTGTGAAAACTTAAGGCGAATAAAACGCTCCATCCAGTACAATCAGCTCAGGTAACTGCACTCGAAATTTCGCGCTTTACCATTCAGTTCTTTAGAGCTATTGAGGTATTTTTGTATTATTAAGGAGGAACTTTGCATAAATATCCCGAATTCGTGAATAATAACTTATTTTAAATTGCGCCCCTACCCAGTTCCGGCGCAAGAACTTAGAAAGCACCAATTTTATCACAAAAGATATAAATGGAGTATATTTGCAACTGGATGAAGTAGCTAAATGAAGTAAAAAGACATTTCAACTCCGGCGGCGGAAGCTAAAACGACTCGTATTATATTCGGTTTAATTATTTGCAATTAACGAGAGATGCTGTGCCACGCCTTTCGCCCATTCTTATCCGCTGAATTATACCTTAAACTTATTAAAACATCCACTGCGACATCAATAGGCAGCTTTATAAGATAAAACGCGGGTTTCATCCTGAATTCTTTGATGTTTTCAAAGCTTCAATATTCGCATTCAAATTTTCTGTGGTAGAATGCCAATTTATTTATTGTTTCCCATTAGAAGCGATTATGAAAATTATCCTGAATTTTGGAAATGCACAATTAATTTTTAAAACTTCCTGGGATTTACTGCGGGGATTTTTATTAAAATATTTAGAAAACAGCCTTTTGTTTTAGCAAATTGTTTTAAAAAATCATCAAGTATGCAAAAACGAAGTCGAAGAAGCGGTTGACAAAGAGGGACAAAAGAAAATTGGTCTTGATAGTAAAAAGCAAAGACTAGAGATAAGAATTTTTTTCAACACACAGAACATTCGTCTGCAAGACGCGTATTGTGGCAAAAATAAATGTGTGATTATTTGCAAAAATAGCGACGAAAAAAACGATGGTCAGAGGGATGCTGGCTTTTGTTGAATTAACTTGGTACTTTTCAATCAAAACTGGAAAATTTGCTTCAATAAGGGGCGAAATTCTTCCAGAGCCCGCAGAAATCCGAAGTTTCCAGCTTTTTCCTAACGCGTCCTATTTCTGAATGATTTAATTTCCAGCAATGCAAATTGCAGTCGCAGCTGGCCGATTACATTGCGTATCAACGAAATTACATTGAATAGAGCGAGCAAAAACTTCATCCGTGCACGTTGCATAATTTTTCCGGTAGTTTCAGCTCTTTTGCGTAGAATTAATTTGAAATTTTCAGATGTCCAGATGCGGTCTTTCGGTGCTTGAGCGACTTGTGCGACAGTGGATTTTAATTTGCTATCACGGAACTCCATAATTGCGTTTCGGTCTATAATATTGGTATTGCGTGTCAACAAACTGTATTGATTATGCGCCATGAAGCGTAATATTGTTATTAGATGTTATTCGAATGAAAACGTTAATACTCTTAATAGAATTTTATTGGATATTCTAGTTCACCATTAATGCAATTGGGATAATGCGTGCGGCTAATGCGAACCGGAGCTAAATAAAATTCATATCAATTTCCAGTAAATTATACCTACATGGAGTAAGCAGATTATAAAGGACTTATCCAACAACTGCATTTAGGTAAAAGCTTCGAAACTTAAGTGCATCGGTGATTTTCCCCCGGTGATTAATTGAGTATTTTTCAATGAAGACACGTCCAGCAATTAATTAATACCAAGATTTTCCAATAACACTAATTACAGCTTACGATCCTCGAGCAATAAATCTTCAATTTGGATGCTCCTGAAATCAAACGGAGCCAGTAAAATTATAAAGTAAAGATAATCACTTTGCCTAATGACAAGAGTAGCGAACTTGTGACTATCGATTTTGTAATCAGGCAAATTTCAATCGGATAAATTAATAATCTCCAGCGCGTATTTAGAATTGTGCTTATTTGTGCTGCAAGAGATTTGCCAATATTTAAATAATGTGGCACCTAACCGCGGAAAAGTGACAAAGTCGCTAATTTAAAGTCACGAAACTGAACTTGGGAACTCAATTAACTGTAACTAACTTTCATTATTGCTCCATGCAATAATTTCTCTAACGGTTCCTTCTAATGCAGCTTCGGGCGACATTTCGAAAACTAGCATGTTCATTATAGTTGCACTGTTTTAATTTAAATTAGTCGGGTCGCTTCAACTTTTACTCAGAAAATGGGCGCATAATTGACTTGCACGCCAAAGTTGTCTAATTCAATTGCTATTTTTAGCAACAAAAGCTCATCCGTTTTTTTCACGTCTTTATTCAATTTTCGGTTCTAGAAAAAACCCACTGGGAAGTGGAAAGTAAATGGACGAGGAGATGATCCACTTGATAAAAAAACGTTGATTGCATTACGTTTTACAGGGCAAAAGACAGGAAATTACTTTGAAATATTTCGGCAAAGTTGATTGAAAAGGCAGATAGAAATATTCCAGAGATAATTCAACTTTAGCTGACGCAAACTAAGATTAATTTATTTTGCTGTGGCAGAAATCAAACATACGGTTTCGTGGGCCATCGTTTGCGACCAATTAACTATTTACTTAATAATTTATTATGATATTCTTATCTTTCCTGGGTCTCAGTCAAAGTGTG